ATCATTTCGGATCCTCAGGAAGAATAAGTTTCACTTTGCTTAATAAATAAAGTTGCTAAATTTAAAATCATATGTATTACAATACAATCTATATGCTACATAGTGTCAATAGTATATTCGCTAATCTTTTTATTAACACATCTAACACATCTATTTCACATGAAATGTAGCTTTGCAAAGCGACTGACTCGCTATTTTGCTATCGTAATATGTTAGACCTAATATTTATATCAAATATATATAAAAAATTATAAAAGTGTAAGTTTTTCATATTCGAAATAAAAATCAAATCGTAAAATATTTAATACCTCGTTCAAGTTTTTTTATAAATGTTTTAAAAAAGTAAAGTCTAGTAAAAATCAACAACTAAATCATTTGTGAAGTGACCAGAATTCATGATCGAAACTAGAAAAGTAGTGTTATAGTAGTTTTGATAAATTAACATAAAAAAACACATACATATCTTTGAGTTTTGAGCCGTTGCCAGAAAACATACGATTTTGTTTAATAATAACCAATAACTTATCAAGTTGACTATGGTCTGATCGGCTCAAATCCACGTCCGCAAGCACGATTTTTAAAAAAGAAATCGTACACTATATCAACGAGAAAACCACTTTTTTCTTTCAATTTAAAATTTGGAATTAATGTTTGTAAAAACAATTAAATATTAGAAGTATTTGCATTACTGCAAATAGGTCATTTTACGAACATAATAAATACTTTATGTTTGGAATTCTACCTAATCCTGAATTAGTAAGTTTGAGTTGCAACTCTAGTGTTGAGTGTGAAAATATTGAAGAAAGCAAGAATTATAAATTCATTTCATGCATTCAAAATTATACGATATAACCTACAATCTATATTTATTCAATCAAGAATTTTTTAACCAAATCAAATTACAAACTTATCTTAAAGAAAAAAAAAAACGAATATTACGCAGTCAGACCTTTCTAAAGCAAACTTTCTAAATGCAACACCTCCTAAACATGATTTCCAACTCTGGTCCAAATAGATGCTAGTTTTCGTAAGTGCAGTGTTTCTTGTCATTCTCTATATGTAGTTAAAGAGAACAAATATATAATTAGTAAATTGGGTTTCTGTTCTTTTTTTTTGACCCACAATGAAAAGGAATTGACTCTTCTCTATTATTTGATTTTTTTTGTTTTGAAAATTGACTTCGTATTGAATATTTACAGAATGTTTATTGGATGTTATACGCACGATAATCATTCAATTAAAAATTTTCTATTTTTACATCCCTTACAAATATAAACCCCTGTTCAGAAAAACGATCCCATTCCGAACAATTTCAGAACAGACCTTTTTATAGGACTTGGAAATTTTGTAGGTTCAACATAGTACGAAGTCCTTCGCTCCTAATAAAATAATTAACAATAATGAGTTTATAATCAATCAGCAGTAACCTTTTTTTTCTATGCCAGTTCAAAAAAAATAAGCAAAACACGAGATTTAATTTAAAGCTCGTAGCATAATGTAGTACTCACCCCTATTCGTTAGAAACAATGTCTTTCAACGCCTCAATATAAGTCTTCAAATATTAGGATCTAGCATTTGAGTATCGCTAAAAAGAAAACCCGTATAAGCATATTTAAATTTTCGGATTTTCTTTTAGCGACACTCATTTATCGATATAGGAATAGTAAAATACTTATTCAAGATACTGTTAAGTGCAACCCCCTAAATGCAACCTTTAACTCTGGCCCAAATAAACGTAGTTTTTCGTATTGTTCTCAAATGCTGAAACGCAAGCTCTCAAGTTTGGTTTCTATGAATTGCATTTAGGGAGATTTTACTAAATACCATATAAATTTACAGTAGATAGAGTTTAGATTCAATTAATAATTGATGCATAATAACATTTTACATGTTCTTTTTTATCCAGTGCTCCACTACAAACAATTTCCTTATTAGATTAAGTAAAATTTATTGTACATACGTACATACGTACGTACTAAATTTTTTAGCACACTATAAATATTAAACGAAGATAGACGTATAAGTATATTATATAAACTTATGTATATAGTATCAAATAGCAGAAGTTTTAATGTAATCTGGGCATTGCATTAAATGAGCGTGTTAACTATAATGATTCTCAAGCAGCAAACTATCCTAACAATAATATAATCTAATCCGACTTTTATATGTCACATTTAATCCTGACCAATATTCGCATAATATCTTTCTATTCGCCTAATAAGAGAAAAATCAAAAATATTAAAGGATGAAAAATATAAAATCTCAATTTTATTATTTACAGTAAAAATATGAAAAACAACTTGAAAGAGATAATATTATAAAAAAAAATAAAATAAAATAAAGTAACAAAACCTTAAAGCCTCTCGGCAAATCTTAACACTTGTTTTTATCTAAACTTGTCGCATAATGTAATTTTTTTTGATGACGACCAAAAATAGCAAGTAATGCTTTAAAATCCAAACCGAATACTAAAAATAATGAAAAATAATGGCTAATAATAAGTTGAGCAGTGGCAAAGATTTAAGTAATATATAATGAAAAGAATATGTACACCAAATTTAAATGCCACTTTACTTGTATACCACAGGCTTCAAATTATAATCTTGCTTTAATAGACGAACATATTAGTAAATCGATTTTTTATAATCAAGTAAAGCTTAGTAAGATCAAACTCAATAGTAAAATAATTTTTTGGAAAGTATTATAAATACAAATTTCAAAAATTGTATTATAACTATGAGCCAAAACAACAAATTAATAGTTTAAAATGTAAAGTAAGACAAACTCAATATACATAATAGTAATTGCATTTTCTAGTTCTCGTAAGTGCATGTTCGAACATTATGCCCATAATTTTCACATTTAGCACATTTATTTTTATTCTTTTCTTGTGTTCTGTTGTTATTTGTAATTGAACTATGTTTATTTTCATGAGTATTTGCAACATGTTCTAGTGAACTCTTGTAGTGTTTAGATGGGCGGCCACGACATTTTGTCACGAGCAAATTCATAATAGCAGGTTGTGATTCAACATTGCTAGCAACTTTATTTTCTTCCAAAAGTTGTAGCTCATGTGTTTTGGATGAAATAAAATTTTCTATCATATCAAAAAATTCATCATCACACTTAAGTCGTATCATTAGGCTAAGTGCTTTCTTTACTACTCCATGCCCTTTAGACCAATGAATCTTCTCACTAGCAGATTTTTGCAAGGAAGGAGTAAATACATTAGAAGTACAAAAATGAGACAAATGCTAAAAATCAATTGTGTGAGTGATATTATCACTATTATATGCTGAAGATTCATTAGATTCACACAATTTAATAGGTTGTTGCGAAGCAACCAAATCCTTATCTGCATTTATTTTAGTATTTTTATACCAACGTAATGATATTAAGGAAATGTGAAATATGGCAAGATGCGATTTCATTAAAACTTTTATAAAATGATGACAGATGATTCTTTGTAGAGTTCACCCAAACCCCAGTACCTACTTTACAGACTATCAACTGTATCTTCAACTATCCCAAACTACCAATTCAGATGGCCTGGAAGGGATTTTTCTCTTGATATCTGCAACTAAGCAGGTCCTTTTTCTCTGGTTCCGACAGACTCGGTTCTAGCAGCCTGGTTGGTAGAGTGCCTTGCTATACACCCGGTCCTGTTCAGTTTTTTGCTGGTTCTCTAGTAATAATCCTTTATATAGTACCATTGAAAATCTGTGTATCTCTCTACTCAGGTCTTGCCAAGCAGGTG